CAGCCGCAGCAAGTGCCACAAGTGTAATCGTTAATTATTATTGCCAGGCAGAGACACCGAAGTTCGAGAAAGATGATGATGGGGCTTGGCGCTGGACGGTAGAGAACGTGGTGAATAATTATTCCTGCGCGAAGAAAGAGCGAGAGAGCGCGCGCGCCATGTTTCCTGCGGCGGGCAAGGGCGAGCGAAGAAGTTCGCGCGGAAGCGCGCGGCTCTCGTCCAAGATGTCGGGAAAGCTGCCCCGGTTGCGTGCACTGCGACCGCGGCAGCAGCACCAGAGGCGAGCGAGAACGGCTCCCGTCGTCCCCGTCGACGGAGCGACGCCGAGACCGGAAGGTAACCTTAAAGGGGCAGCCGTAGCGAGTCACGAGGTGGAGCACGATGCGAAGAAGGGCGAAGACACGTTCGCGTCCGGCGCTGTGAGCAAGACGAACGAGATGGACGAGGATGACAACGACGACGAGCTGACGATGACCGTCGTCGACGCCAACGAGGTGGAGACGACGCTGGACGGCAACGTTGACGTCGACGTCGACGTCGCGGTGAATTCCGAGGAGACGATCAACATCGACACGAACAAGCGAGCGTCTTACGAGTGCAAGACCTGCAAACCATCCAAAATGCTGCCCAGTATCAAGGCCTACTTCGAGCACCTGCGAAAGGATCACAAATATAAGGTGAGCACCGATTTTTACATATATGCCTTGATGTTTTTTTGCTAAGTGTTTTATGTTCTTTTGTTTTTCGATTTATCTTATATTCTTGATTTCTTTTTATTTATTCATTTTCTTTTTTTCTCTGTCTCTCTCTCTCTCTCTCTCTCTCTCTCTCTCTTCTTCTCTCTCTCTTCAACATGGCCGTTTTTAAAACGGAGTTAAATCGAAAGAAAATTCCGTTTTAAAAACGGAAGGTCGTCCGATATAACTACGTGTCATTAGGGATGCAGGGTGCGTTATTTTGCGCAATTACCGTAATTTCGTAGTGAGCGACGTGCTAAATAAAAACAATGATATTCAAGGCACATACTCATAGGTCGCAGGAATATGTTTTATTGTAATTTTTAGGGCAAAAATGAGCACAGTCCAGTTGAAAATCGTTGCCCTGCGTGTTCGTATGTTGCATTGAACGTGAAAGATCTTGAAAATCACCAAAGAGTGCATCATTTGAAAAGAAAATTCTTTCGATGCGCAAAATGCGATTACGTGACGCACATCAGAGCGCGTTATACTAAGCATGTTAAATATCATTCTATGCCGATGATCAAGTGCGATGCTTGTGATTTTAGTTCAGCGTATAAGGTTTGTTCCTCATACTACTTGGTTTCCCAGCGATACGTTAAGCATGTCAGAAACTTTCCAGGGTTTTGTGAAGAAGCTTGCGATTTACACTTTTGAGATTATATAGATTATATGTGTGTCTTTAACGCTGTTTTTCAGTGGAATCTAGAAAGACACATGCGGAATCATGGAGGTGGAGGTGCTTTCAAATGTCGTGCATGTAATTTTACTGCTGATATCCGTCAGAGCTTAACGGTGCATGAGTCGTATCATCATGATCCACCTGTGGGTCAGATCAACCGCAAAAATAATAACGCTTTCGAACGTAAGCCACGAAATAGTCCAAAACGTTATAATCAGGTATTATAAGCAAGTATATAATCGTAACTTTCGTACGCGTTAAAACACGTTGATTAATCACGTCGTATAACGTATTTAATGTCTGCTAGGTTGGAGCCAGTGACTTTCGAGAAGCGTTGAATAAAAGTGGAAGTACAACCACGTCAGCCGCTTCTTCTGACTCGTTCGTATCAGATCACTCATTAATTTCAATAGACGATAAGAAAAGCGCCCTGGCCAGCGCAGAGTGCATTGCGTTAAAATGCGAAGAGAAAGGCTGCCAATTTATAACAGCTTGGGATTCCGAGATGCAACGTCATTTAGCAGAATGTCATGCACCGGTTATCTCATCAAAGCCAAGAAAGCCACTGCCGATGTTAATTCCACTGAGCCTAGCGAGCACCAAGTCCAATAACACTATCAACAATAGCGGGCCACCTACAACCCTGCTGAAAGTTCCACGCGTTAGAGTGAGACCTGAATTGGCGCAAATTGCTAAAGAGACGGAACTCGCCAAGATGTACGGAAACAAAGGGGTTGGTTGAAATCATTAATTTTCTTGCCCTTAAGAATATTGTACGAAACACGTCTTATATCGGTGCTGGCTGTCATCTGCTTTCAGGCCGCGAATTCGAAGAGGAATCTCAATACTGCGACTGGTGTATTTGAGAGAAAGAATGCCTCCTTCTTCGATAAATTAAAGGAAAAACTAACAACGACAGCGACGTCGATTAATAACGGTGTTCCGGAGGTAGCTGTAAGTAATGAGAACGACTTGAAATGCTGGTGTACGTTTAAAGCTAGTAGCATGGAAGAGCTAACTTGCCACAAACAGACGCACCACACTGCGCTCAGCGTGTCCGTGGGCACGACACGTTGCCCTAAGTGTAGAAGACGATGTAAGAGTACAACCGATCTCCAAACGCATATGAAATGCTGTCATTCGCGTGACGACACGACGCCGTCCATCGATAGTAGTTTAGAGAAAGTAACGAATCGCTCGGACATCCGCATGACCTCGTACCGTGACGAATTCTCTTTTCCGTCGCAAATGGAATGGGACGCCAATCTCAGAGGATCAAATTCTTCTGGACCTCCGGTACGATGCTTGATAATAATAATTTAAAAATATACGATAAGAAAACTACTGCACAACCGCGACTCTAGAAGCGAACATCGTCAAAAGTCTGTATAAAGCAACTGAAATTTGAAAAGTTTGTCGTAGAAGGCATTATGAGAATGCTATATAAAGTAAATTCTCATTGTTATGTGGATATTCTTCTATTTTGGCTATGTGGTTTATTTTTTGCGTTTCTGTAAAATAGTTTAAAACCGGCGGCACACGATGCTTATTTTCTTGCTGGATTGCTAACTAGAATAAATTCTTGCTTCCGTATTGGCTAAGATGCTGACATTGTCAGTACCGCAGCTAATACGATGGCAAGATTCTAATCCAGCTAGGAATCCAGCAGGAAAACGAGCATCGTATGCCGCAGGTTTTAGATTTACAAGTATTGCTGTTGGTGGTATTGGTTTAGTGTTAGTACAAGATATTTTGTAGGAGTATGCATCTAAAGAAACTTTAGGTATCCGCGAAATGGTGAGCGTTGATTAGAAACTAGAGTGAGTCTCGTTCTTTTCTTTTCATTTATTATTAAGAATGTGCTTTACATATTGCATAGTGGATGTCGAGCATCTCTCTTTCTGGTTGATTACTAGTTCATTTCTAATTCTTTACTGGCAGTTCTACTGTTACGATAAAAAAAATTTTTGTCAGTTTGAAGGTGGTCCGACACATCCGAGCAAGCGGCGGGTATTCAAATGTCCCCATTGTCCATTTTGGGCTTCCACCGCAAGTCGCTTTCACGTACATATAGTCGGTCATTTAAACCGGAAGCCATTCGAGTGTTCAATGTGCGCGTATCGTTCTAACTGGCGATGGGACATCACAAAACATATTAAGCTTAAAGCGGCTAAAGACGCAGTGCATACGAGAGCCAGAGTGCTCATGACGGATGAGACAGGTCGACGGAATTATTCCAAATATAACAAATATCTTGCACAGGTGAAATAATGAATCTCAGTTTTACGTAGAATAATTCATTGTTTTTATATCTCACATCGATGCAATATTTTAATGATCAACATCAATAATTACCTTGCGAAAAGGATGTACGATGAAAAAATCTCGGCACCACAATACGGCGCTCGAACGCTTGATCACTATTGCATTGTAAAGCCGTGATCAGACTAGAGATTGAAATTGAAATTGAATTCGAATTTAATCAATCAGAAGAAAGAAAATCAATCTCAATTTTACTGAACTTTGTTTTGATTTGTTAAATTCTAATTCAATCTCAATTTCGATCTTTAGTCTGATTATGGCTTAACACTTGTTGTAAGCATATTCTTAGTAATTAATAGACGAAAGATATTGATTCTATCTTTATTTATGAAAGTTCGATCAATGTTTTCGAGATTTTTGTGAAAATTGACCGAAACGTTCGCCTATTTGTTATGAACGCGATAAAAAAAATTTTGATAATATTATTTAACAAACCTGTTTCATGACATCCGACATCTCGTCTAACATGTTCTACTATGAAATTTCGTTTATTTATCGCAATATCTTTGCTCCAGGTAGGACAGCAATCGTGGGATGAGGATCGTATGGAGCAGCGTAGCATAGAAGAAACAAATTCTGAAGAATTGTCAACAAAGTTGTTGATTGTGGGCAATAAAGAGTATATTCCGATGACTAGTTCAGCATCACAATCTCCCATCACAATTTTATCAACAAACGAGACAAATCAGAACAGTCATAATGTAGATATACGACCTCCACCAGCACTCAAAGCAGCGGTTAGAAATCGCGGGCAATCGTTGTTGAAAAACAATCCTATCACGATGCATGTACAAACCTCTAGTGGTGGTGCGGTCTCTGTATCTACAGCGGTAGATGACAGTAAACGCACTCAAAATCAATGGAGGTGCAAACGTTGTAATTATCGAGATAGCAACAAAGATAATATATTGCTGCATGTTAAATCTCATTACGAATCTGCCAATCAGGAGTCTGTCGAAGAAAGGGTAAGTTCTATACCGTTAAATATAATTTTTTGCAATTGCAGTAGTCAAGGTTGTCGCGTTTTTATGTAAAGATTAAATGTGAGAAATTGTACGAACAACAGAAATATCTTAATAAAAATAGTTGTGAAACATAGCGCAAGCAATTTGTATTAAAAATATGGTAAAAGTTCCACGACACCAGATATACGATTATAAAAAGATTACGTAAAATAATGTGAGATCTATCTCTTGTTTTTTAACTTTATATCCAAGTAACTAATGCATTTTAATTTGAAGTGCGTCACTTTGTTTTTCGCAGAATCCATTTAGTTGTGAGGAATGCCCGTTTTCGGCATCGGATGCTGCCACTCTGTCCATTCACAAGATGCACCATCGGCCGAACTTAGATGCTATATTTAAATGCTATCTTTGTCCATACTACGTTAGTACAAAGGCGTATGTGTCGCTAGTAACTCGCTTTGTTAACATGAATGCTCCGTTTTTCCAATTTATAATTTAATCCAAGTATTAATTATTTTTTTTTTACTTAACTTTGATTGCGATATATATGTAATACATTTATGTGGATTCCATACGTATTTAAATACACACACATTTCCTATCTACTATCATTTATGTAGAAAACACCATTAATTTTATATAGTATATATTGTGTGAATTCTAAAGAGATTTATTAATTTTGTCAAAGATTTTTATTAAAAAAAACATTTTATTGGAAAATTTATTTTAATGTTAAAAACTTATATATTTGTATTTTAAAGCATTATCTATACGAATTCATAAGTGTGTCTTTTAGCATTGATACACGCGCAGCGCAGGAATAATATTTGTTATCGTTATATTACGTGTATCTTTTATACATGAGGCAAATATCCACGAATATTTTTAAAATATTAAATTCTAGGTCATATATAAATTTACACTTATTTCATAAGAATTAGATACACAAATAGTAATGTAACGGTCAGGGGATTGGTTAAAAAAATGCACGCGCGCGCGCGCACACAGCGGTCAAAGTGTTATATTAATTACTTTAATATTAATTGCGTTAATATTAATTAACGCATTATAATCAACGCATATTTGTGATATAATACACACATATATATAGGTAATGATATAATACAACATATAATACAGTTGCACTATTCATTGTGTCACAGAGAACTGTTGGAGCACGCTAGACTTCATGGAGAAGAGTTGGCAGCTATGCATCAACAAAATATGGATTTCCCATTGTCCAGTCCCAAGAGCAAACAGCAACAAATATCAATTTCTGAAGGCAATAAGTTTTATAAATTGCACAATATATCGAATGCATGGTATAATAAGACAGGTGTAACTTTCCCATAGATGCGCAATAAGAGAGTGAAATTGCGTCTAAATTTGATTAATTGTTTTTAATATTTATTATTCATTATAATCCTAAAACACAATAGATGTAGTAAGCTTTAGAGTGGAATTACATTTATGCGTTTTTGTTGTATATACGATACATTTTTCAAGCCTATTAATTGGCTGCAAGACAGAATATTTCTCGGATCCCTTTGCTCTGCAGCCAATTAATAGCTTTGTCGTACGACGCATGAAATATCGGCCTTAGACTTAGCTGTAAGATATTGACCAAGCCATAGATATCTAAATTGATACACGCAAAAATGTGTCAACAAATCGCCACAATCTAAAGCGCATTGCAGATAAGACGTAAGATCTGTTCTTTTCAGTTAAAGTTATTGCACGATTCATCTTTCTTCCTTTTCTCTTTATGTTGGAAGAGATTTACGGTTGTCCGGTTCCATTTCAGCCAATTACAATAGACTTGCTATATCGTGATTGGTTAAAGTAGAACCGTGCAACTATCAATCGTAATCGTCAATCTGTAGTCTGATACGGGCATCATGCTGTTCTATGATAGGGTCACAAGCCGTAAACCGTAAGAAATTAACTAATCATAATCGATTATTTTTTTTTATATTCAACTGTGCTTGGTAAATTTCTTACGGTTTATGACTTGCAATTGTAGAACAGGCATTACTACTCCTATTGTGTTTTGGGACTTATTAGCACAACTGTTTTCTAATAGCTCCGGTGAATAGAACGCGACAACGCTTTCCACACGGCGGAAATTAGTACGGCAACCAATAATCCTCATGGAAAAACGATAAATTGATTAACTATTGGCGCCAACTTTCGCCACGCAGCAAGTGTTGCGACGTCCTATGTGCCGGAGCATTACATACATCATGCACTAGATATGTGTTGTAATTTAAGCATTTGTTACAGGTATTTCTCGAACAAAAGACGAATCGTCTATCGAACAAGTGATTCAGATAACGTCACGTAACAACGTAATGGCATCTCCAAAAATCACAGGATCTGAGCCGCCTCCACTGCCGTCGCTTCTTCTGGATACTCGTGCTCTTCCGGATGCTCCGCTGGTTTGGGTATCGCGACCAGATGGCACACTGACGAAGATGCTCAAGTGCCGTCATTGTCCGTACATTTCATCGCGACGTGCGGAAGTGCGCGACCATGAGACAATGCATGTAGACATGCCAACTCAGGGTCCCTTGATCGCCTGCACGGATTGTAGCTTTACTTGCACGCGTCGGGAAGTCATGATCGCACATACAGAAATGCATGCAGGATCTCTCGGTACTGTTCACTGTCTTTTCGATGAGACACGGCCTGATTCCCAACAGGTGAGCGATCTGATGACTCTGCTTGGCTTGACACACACTCCTATGCTAGGCACCGAGCCTGATCTACAGGATTCCCGTCTAGTGCACTGCTGCAGCAAATGTCCAGCACGGTTTCTGTGCGACAAGGAGTTGCGTATTCATCTGCGTTACCACACCACATTATTAACATATTCATGTCAATGGTGCTCGTATGCAGCGCGACAACCAGCGCACTTGTTAGCTCATCAAAAGGCGCACTCGACAGAATATCAAGAGCGCACCAAATATTTATTGACCTTGTACGGCCATTCGCAGCGTTATCCACCGCCCACGACAGCGTGTGTTGAAGTGGAGAGTCGGGAAAACAATGACAATGGGCTGAATGTCGCGTGGATTGTTGTTGAAATCGGCGAAAGTTCAAACAGTTATAACAATGTCAATGGCACAACAGAGACCGTTCAAAGGACCGGTCAAGTGTTTACGTGTGCTAAGTGTCCGGCTCGTTACTTCAAACTGGATGCTTTGGAGTATCACATGACGCTTCATGGTTCAAACAATCGATACAAATGTAATGACTGTGATTATTCATCGAAAACGGAACAAAATCTATTAAAACATCAAGTGGTACACCGAAGACATAGCGAAACCAGCGAAGCGACTGCGGAGCTATCATCTACCGCAGATTCTGCTCCAACATCCTCTCCCGGATCTCCACTGCAGTCACCACCAGATCCACAATTTGGTGTCTTCATGCGCGGCAATCCTAATTTCGTTTATCCAGGTTACCTACGGAATGGTCGTCTGAAGGAAAAACGTTACAAGTGCCATAAATGTCCATCCGCTTTTGAAAAGCGTGAACAATATAGAGTTCATCTGACTTTGCACGGTGCGAAGCAACGCTATCGCTGCACTACGTGCGACTATTCGGTCAAATATTATGCGAATTACGTACAGCATCTGAAGAAGCATCAGGCAAATGCAGAAGCACAGGCATCTCGAAGACAATTCGAGGATGATCGGATTTCAATCGATAGCGATAGCATTATTGACATTGTATCGACATCATCACGTAAGTCGTCGAGATCGTCTGCTGCTGTTAACATGACGGCATTGTCTTCCGCTAACAACGCGTCCAATAACAACGCTGCGCTACAACCCTCTAATCAGGATAGACAGAGTTTATTGTTAATGCAAAAGAAGGGTATCATTTCGTCAACGGGCGACACCGATGTAGACACGATTCGCTGCCAGAGCTGTCCGTTCTCCACCACTGATAAGGATGTTATGGATTCACACAAGCGTCGCCATGGTATTGAACGCATGACGCCGCCATGCCCGCATTGCGATTACATTCCGCGAAAAGACGAAAACGTCGGTGAGCATATCAAGCTGCACTTCACGAGACTGTACAAGCCTGAGTCCTATCTTATTGTCGAAATGCTGACGCTGACAACGGAGAAAATATCTGCGAATAATAAAAATGATAAGGGTCAACGATTGAAAGAACTACTCTTCAAGGAATGCGCCGACGGTAGATTCCTACCGCTCACCGAAACGATCAACACTTATACTTTAGGTACCTCTTCAAAAGTAAAAACTGCCAAGGAGAAGGTTATTATAGATCCAAATACAGGCGAGACCAAGCATCGTCTTGCCACGTAAATGGAACTTCTATCTAGCAATCACGCGCGATAACGCGGTTGTTTATGTGTCCGCGACATGTTTATATTTTTTCTATGTAAGAAACTGGTCCGAAATTGGTAGATGATATAGTTGATCTCGCGAATAATTGTAGATTAATAAGCATTGTAAAAATCAACGATCTTGTTTTTGTTTACAGTTGACGAATAGTAGAATTTATCTTACCTCTAAGGATATAGTGCACTTAGCTTTACAAATACTTCGAAACATTTGATTGACCAATCAGAAGAAAGAATTTTACTGATTGTCTACAATCAAAGAATGCTTCAAAGCATTTGTAGTATCAAATGAAAATCGCAATCTATAAAATAGATTAAAAGAATAAAACTATCTTGATATACATATATAAAGATCGTTTTTTCGACAATGTACATCCAGCGCTTTATCCAGTTGTATTCATTTCTAAACAAACTTTTTTGCATTTCATCATTGATTAGGATATTGTTCATTGCGTGAGCATTCTCTGTACGAAGTACAGTTGTTGATACATCGCACGTCATATTTTGTTAGTATATTGGCCAATGATGGGCTCAAGATCAAATCTGTAGAATCTAATAAAAATTCTAAATTGTTTCAATATCATTGGAAAAGATGGAAGTCTTTAATACATAAAAATGTTTCGAAATTTCAAATTCAAATTCAGTTTTTAAAGTCTTAAATAAATATTTTGAAAATCAAAGATGATTTATCGTTATAAGTCGAAATTAGACCAATAAGAATCTTATTAAAAAAAAATAATTCATTCAACATCTCAAAGTTGGAACAGGGCTTACTTCTCGTACGTATGCCCGTGGTATGCACGCAAGTTACACAGATCTACAATTTAACGCCGGTTCCGAATGGCAATTCGAAAGATTTTCTTGGCAATAGATAACTCTTGATGGTTTGCCAGACCACCGAAGAGAAGTGTATGAAAATTTTTTGATCTGCACCGTGCAATGCTCGTTCTAAAAAAAATATATAATAAAAGAGAGAATTCTATTTTTGATCGAAGTAAATTTTGGTGCTTATATATATATAATAATATTCAAATTTTTGCAAACATATTTTTTAGTTTTGTAAACTATGCGCCGATTCGGCTTCAGACCTATCCTAGCTGAGGTAATATTTTTCGCAATAAGTTCTTTAGAGATTTTTGAGATGCTTATTAGCAAAATTTAAAAAAATCATTGTTCTCTCTTTTTCTTTCTCCCTCAATTTGCGATTGCGTTTCAATTTGATAAACAAAATTTAAACGTAGTTTATAGAACGGAAGAATTTATGTACCTTTTATTAGCAATAAACGTATGATGCCCACCAACAACGCAAGTGATTCAGTCTCAGAATGCCATTATATGAAGCGCGGAAACACGGAAACGCGCAACCAATCAGTAATCGATAAAACGCGAAATCATAACAGCGGATCGCTTCTAATTGATTACACGTTTCCACGTTTCCGCGCTCATGTAATGGCACTCTCAGAGTCTTATATAATAAACACAATAAAAGGACTTTCGAAATTCAAATAATTTAATAGTAAGTAAAGAGCATTAGGAGTCAGCACTGTAAATACTGCGTAAATGTAATAAAATATTGTTAATTATTAAACGACATATCCAGTATAGTTGTAATTACAAAAAAGAATAGCCGTACATTTCTGCTCCAATTTGAGCTATTATCACCAAAATATCAATAATAAAAATACAGTGACTTATATTAATTTTATAATTGACATGTATTTGAAAATTTTCATATGAATATTAAGCATCGAGATTTACTTCGACCGAAAATAGAATTCTTCCTGTTATTTGATGATCAATTGACTTGTAATACGATATCACAATCAATTAAAATTAATTAACTAATTTACTTTTTAGATGTAACGACTTTCAAACATTTCTATATATCTTTTGGATGTGAATATATTTGAAATAATTTAAAATATTAAATAAGTTCGGATATTGTATATTCGAAGTAGTTTAAAGCAGTATTGAATATATATTGGAAACGATTTGAATATATAATACGAAAATTTTTGAAAAGAAATCGAATGCCCATCTTTAACAATGGCCATTAATAAATTTATACACGACATTATTATTGTAAATATTTATTTGAATCTTTATCTTGTACAATACATGATAATAAATGCTCATACTGTATATATACATGTCTGTTTATTTTATTTAAAAATATATTTCATTTACATAGAAAGCTTTGGCTTATTTTGCAAGCGCGCGCTTTTGCAAGCTTCGCTGAATTACAATCACTTTAACGAAGAGATTTTAAAGATTTTGTATCTGACCAACGTTATTGAAATCTTCATTTCCCGATAATATATTTCCCTATATATGCATTTATTTAAATAAATTTATTTTATATATTTATAAATAAAAATTGAAAATATTATTAGAACATTAAATGCGCCAATTAGCAGCAGATAAATAATTCTGCTATATTTTCATAATTTAAGTTGCAATTTTGTCAACTTCCTGTTTTGACGTTACAATCTGACATATTTTATGAGTATTTTCGTTTCGGGATTAGAGATGCTACTCTCTTTAAATCTATATAATTATTCATTTCTTAAATATAATATGTAATAACATCATGATTCTGATTGCTTTCTTTATACTTATATTATCTTTATACTTATATATCTTTATACTTGTATATCTTTGGTCTTCCTTTATTTTTCTTTATCAGAATTTAAAGTCTTTTATAAAAGAAAATTAACTTTTTATATAATCTAACATATGGAGTAAAAATAGATTAGGGAACATAATTCGAAATTTTTAACATTTGAATTGAAATCCTTGAAATTTCTATCAAAAAACTAATATAAATTATATAACTTTATATATTCTTTAATTTACTTTATCTTATAAGAACTAGAAAAAGATATAAATTATACCAAAAGATAAAAATTTATCAATAATGGTAGAAATCAGTTAAGTTAACTTAATCACCGATTAAATTAATCAGAGTTTAGAGAAAATTGATTTCCGAGCACATCTGTGTATACCTATCCCTATGATCCTTGTCCATTTCGCTTCTTGCGAAGCGCAGGAGGAGCAGACGCCGCAGACAGACGTTCGTCGGACGGGTGTTGTGGATGTTGCGTCGCGCAGCATCGAGACTAGATTCGAGATCAATAAGGATAGCGGCGACGTCGCGCATGACTGAATTATTTTGCGAATTGCAACAATCCCGATTCCCGAGGAGGTTATGACGACGACCGGGGCCCAGGTCGATCCCATATGATCTCGTCGTCTTGCTCACGGAACAGATAGAAAGCGGCACCGGTGCTCACGATCCTCGGGACAGACAACGACGACGACGACGACGATGTTCGAGGGGGCTATAGCGGCATTTTTCAACCGTCTGCTGGGCAGGTACGTGGAGGATCTGGACACGGAGCAATTCAATGTCGGTATTTTCTCCGGGGATACATGCCTCACCGACCTGAAACTGAAACCAGAGGCTTTGGTACGATTTCTTTCTTTTATCTAATAATTCAGGGGTAATAAAAAAAATTCAAAATATATAATTGAATATGTATGTACATTCCTGGTGATTGTGCTTGCAGTATCAACTGGGACTACCTATTAAAGTAGAGATCGGTTTAATAGGAAAAATTATTTTGAAAATACCATGGTCTGGACTCTTCTCGCAACCTATTGTGATATGCATAGAGGTATTGAATAATCTATATATGACCATATCTCACAATTATGAAATATATATTAAATTAAATTAATTATGCAAACGTGCTTTATTTTCTTAAGGATGTATACGTAGTAGCAGTACCTGCATTATCTGGTCCATATGACCCAGAAATACAAAAACGTTTAATGAGAGCTGAAAAAAAGAAGATACTTGATGATCTTAAGGAAGATGAAATATTTAGAGCTGGTAATAAAATATTCAGAATGATTTATTACTAAAATACCTTATTGAGAAATTTATTTCACATCTGTTATGATTTAATTTTATATATTAAATTCGTATAAAAGAAAAAGAATTTATCAAAATTTTATAATTGCAGTTGGAAATAGTAGATAATAAATAGCTTTGCAATGTTTGATTTTTATATTTAAATTAATTTATATAATCTTGTTATATAGGTCTACCTCCTCAACTATTTGATGGTCTATTAGCATCAGTCACGAAGAACTTTCAAATTACTATAAATAATGTACATATTAGATATGAAGAGAAAATATTGCGCAATTTCCTCTGTGCCTGTGGTATATGTATACAAAGTATATCCATAACGACTACCAACAAGTAATTCTACAATGCATATTGTCAAGTTTCTTCCAATTATGTGTATTCAGTATTGTTATTAGAAATATTGAATTCTAGCAAATGGAAGCCCGGGGTGTGTGCTACAAACTCGCAAACGGTGTACCAGCTTATACGCGCGGAATCGCTCAGTGTGTACATGGATCATGACACTGAATCCTGTATAAATGTGCAGGGTAATTGGGACATGTCCAATCTGCTCGCTTGGAAAATTACGATGCATAGAGCTCTGCAGACGTTCGGGATGAAGAACAAAGAGTTTCAGTTTTGTATGTTTGAGATATTTCTTGTTAATTACAGAATATATCTATCATTATCTTGCTTCAAAAGAGATATTAATTCAATTTCCACTTTGATTTTAACGAAATGTTAACGAATTGTTTTTGTCATAAGTGTTGAAGCCCTTCACGGCCAAGATTAAAGTTATCATACACAAGGGTACGGAAATGCAAGCTTCACGTATGTTAGTCGATATTGTGCTCCAAGATGTAGCAATGCAGTTATCTGAAGCGCAGTATGCTACGTTTTGTCATATTTATGATTCTTTGCTTCGTGCGACTATTAACAGGTGAATTTGTGCAACATCTAAAATTTTTTCATTTATTTTAACAATACATACATTTTTAATAAATTAATAAAACTAATGAAAAAACTAACAATATTTATAGACCACATGCTAAATATCGTCCTGAGAAAAGCGTATATGAGGAACCGTCATCTTGGTGGAAATACGCGTATAATTTCGTTTTGAATCATTATATTAAGCCATATACTTGGCCGCATATAACCCAACACAGAAGAAATTACAGAAATTACAAAGAGGCGTGTATCCAATGTTTGCAACGACCAAATGATACAGAATTAAAACTGGATATGCAAAAACATGAAGATAGCCTGACGATATTAAATATAGTGATTGCTAGGGAACATGCTAGACAGGAATTGAGAAACAAAGATATCGAGCGAGAGTGCCAAATCACAACAACGAGTCCATCGAAAGATATTAATGCAGAAGTCAAATTGCCGGATAACGATCAAGCACAAAATGTAACAGATCAATACAACAAAGTTGAAAATCAAAATTCATTACCAGATGTAACAGAAAACTCACCTGTTTTCAAAATAAAATCGGGAACGGTATTGAAACAGATTGGTGAGCATTTAGACTGTTCTTTCTTGATATACTAATATTAACTAAAAGAAAATTGTTACAAGAAATTTAAGAAAGATTTATATTATTCATATAAAGAATTTTTTTCATTTTTTGCAGATTATAAATTAAATTTTACTTTGGCAAATTGTTGTCTGAGCCTCCTAAGTAAAGGCAAAGAAATGTTGATCATAACCGTCACACAATTTCTGACAAGTATCGAGGCACGGCCTACGTTATTAGCTTTCAAGATATCTGTTCGTGCTGAAAGTTTTGTAATTGAAGCTATATCAACTGATGGCGATTTGGTTCCTCTGATCACAGTGGATAATATATTAACAGGTAATAAACCTATTTATCTCTGATCTATAAACTACTGCAAAGGTACTAACTATAACTATTATATGTGACAGGGAATGTATCCACATATTTTTTGGCGATAGATTTTGAGAAAAATGGATTGAATATGGATCCTATTTTTGAAGTATCCATAAAGCTGGAAGCTATCGAAGTGACTTATCATCACGTAATAATATTTTTATTGCTTTAAATAATATTTTGTCTGTGATTTCTGTAAATTTTACTTATAGATTGATTTTCAGTTTGCTATAGTGGAAATTATAAATTTTTTCAAATTTAATACCAATTACATTCACGATACGATTCGCGGAGTATATAGACTATGGGATTGCGTCAAAAGAAGATATTTGAACTTTGTAGACGATATCGTGTCACAGACATTGAGAATCAGCTTCAAAATAGACATCAAAAGTCCTTATATCATATTTCCCGAACACGGATCAGTTCAAAAGTACGTATATTTACTACACACGATTGTAGAATTATTAAAAAAAGTGCAAATAAATATAATTTTACATATACATACATTTTTTTAGAGGTGGGCATATACTTGTTCTGGATCTCGGTAACATAACGTTAACCAACGAGCTCCAAGCAACGAATTTACAATTGGAAGATGCTACTCTCATGGAACTGGAAGAATTACTCTATGACAGACTCAATATGGTGTTCTCTGGCGCACAAATTTTATTTTGTCATTCAGGCGACGATTGGCGCTCGGCGAGGAAACGGAGTGACTCGGAGTATCATTTGTTGCCTAAACTGCAAGCAAATGTGACTCTTTCATACAGTATTAGACCTGAATATCGTCAATTACCACGGTAATAGTTGCGTCGCGCAATCTCCTGTTTATGTGTCCGTTTCAAGGTTTCAATATCTAATGTTCCACAGGACAAAACTCAATGTACACATCTCAAACGTGAAATTAAATCTATCGGAAAGCAAACTGCGACTGCTGGCATATTATTTGAATAAATTGTTAGTCCTATACGAAAACAACATTGAAAAATATAAAGCTACCTTAAAAAGTTCGATTTCCGAACGAAAATCAAGTATTATTTTTATTTCAACGAAAGAATTGATGAAAGTACAATCCAGTATATGCTTGCCGTCCGTCACAATGATGCATAGTGATTTTAAACCAGTCATTAAGGAAGTTGTTACTAATAATGTACCAAAGCTTGACAGGTAATGATTATATAATATTAACACTCAATGCATTTCAATAAAATAGATATATATGGAGTTGGCATCTCATTTTTATGCGCCGCAAGTTTTAATGCAAATTCTATACCCGCGATAGTTTTATAGCTTCTGATAAGTTTTAAAAATAGTTCCGTTAATTTAGTTAAAAAAAAATATTTGAAAAAAAAAATTTGAGATACTGACTTTCCGTGGCATGTTAAAATTCGAAAAAAATAATTTTGATCATGAAATGTTATAATTCTCGAAGAGTTCTATAATTCCTGATAGATTTTAGCAATAGTTCTGGCCTTTAAGTATTTTTAAACAATTTTTTAATAGGAGCGCTGGCACCTCATATAATGTTATTTTTTAAATCAACGGAACTATTTATAATATTTCTTATTAGGAACTACAGAACTATTGCGGCTGTAAGTAGAACTTGCATTGAAACTTGTGATGCAGAAAGATGAAGTGATAACTTCACACACGCATACATAAAATGATTTTAATTCCTTAATAGGAGTGTCGTCTCTTCAGAAATTAGTGAAGAGGACTTGGAATTATTATCTAAAACAATTAATTTGTCCGGATTTGACGATAATATATCTCCGTGTAATCACATTAATTTATTACTTCGATTTGCCGTAGGAGAGGCAAGTATTATTTCATATTAAACATCCACACTTTTATTGTCTAAACAAATTGTTATTGATAGTAATCTGAAATTTAGTTCTCCGTAAATCTGGAAGATATGGCGGATAATCGAGAACAGCCTTACTTAAATTTGAGATTGCACACCTTGTACTATGAAACAGCTATAATGGAATACGGCGTTGCTGTTCAGTTTGGCATTGGATCGATTTTTCTGGTTGATAAGACAAACGCTGGCGTTACCGGATCATATCTAGAACTGATATCTACCGACGAGTCGTACGAAGTCCTCGTTGTGTCGTACCGTAAGGTAATTTATGGAGATTTGATATTATGTTTTCCATTTTGAAAATATTGATCAATTTTTTCTTCAGGTTAAATCGAATTGTCCTGATTTTAAATCTCATTTTAAAAATATCGAACGCTCGCTGGTTGTGAATCTGCTAAATATCAACGTAAACTTTCATAGATCTGCGTTGTTGAAAATGAAAGACTACTGGCATAAATTTCAAACGTAAGTAGAACAATTTTCATACGTGAAAAATCTTGATAGATATTTCAGAGAAAATTCTTTTAATTCTTTTAACACAAATAAAAAATTCTTTTATTTCAGTGTGTGTCATGATACCCTCTTATTCAAATACGCCGACAAGATATGCAATAATATTGTAAAACGAGAACAGAAGGATATTGATCCACCAATTCCACCAGGTATAAATATATATACTCTGAATATATATTTAAAAACGTGAAATACAAATAACATCAATTAATATTTATTAATTTATATTTTATTACTTTTTTAGGCGCAATTAAACTGAACTATTCAACCAGACTCAGTTCATTAGTGGTACGTTTTTGCGATAAAGACATAGATTTAATGGAAATTAAGATTTTGGGTTTAGAAAATGATTGCATTTACAATGCGAATGAGAGAATGGTTTTGCGTGCACATCTCAGGAGCATACTTGCTGAAGATTTGATTGATGATACGCTTTACTCCAAAGTAATTGACTACATCATCTTTTTCTACTGTATAATATACATATTATGTATAAACATATATATATTTTTTAAATTTTATTTAAAGATTTTGACGACTGATGAAGATAAAGTTTTTGATCTGAAATATGTGAGACACATACCAAGATTATATAAATGCTCTGATATCGATACAAATCAGGATGACGTTATGTCGGATGGCACTTTCAAGCTTTCTATTGGACGAATAAATTGCGTGATTATTTCTAAAATTCTATATGATTTACGGGTACGGTATATTTATATCTAATGTTTGTATTATTATGATGTTGATATTCATTTTAATTAACTTTATAGAATTTCATAATACCGTTTACATCTACATATTATACGCGTTTCTTATATTATTTAAAAAATAAATTCGTTGGAGGGATTGAACTATTTAAAAGGAGCGCGACGAAACTACATATTTTTATTGACATACAAGGACCTACTTTTTTACTGCCACAGAAGAAAGATGCCCCGAGTCTCTTGGTTTTTGATACAGGTAAAGGATTGTATCTGAAGTATTTGCACAAATTGCAAATTGAGAGTTTAATTTTATTAAAATATTTATTTTCAGGTGTATTATTGGTTGAAAATTTTTTTAAGAATACTGGACAGTCGGTACAATCAATTAAAGCAATTGCTAACGATAGCAATCAATTAATAATTGATAATATTTTGGTGAAGTTGAAATCTATGACTATATCTAGAGCAATTATGACTCTGACTCGAGATTTAGAAGTCCAGGTAAAATTAAACATTTTATTTGATTTAGTTTGTTAAAATTGAAATAACACTATACATGTATAATTTCAGGAACCCATTATCGAACCTGTACAAATTCAGTTTGATATCAAGAGAAAGACGGAGTATCGTAGCATTATTGAATTTCAAACTTACGGTTTATTCAACGTGCAAGGAGCTATTGATATCGTAAATATAAACTTAAGTCAGAGAGATCTTAAATCCCTCATATCGGTGTGGCAAGATAACATTTCTAAGATATCATTGCTTAAGAAAGTCGGTGAGAATGAAGATAGAATTTTAACGCAAGATTCGCAAAAGAATGCCAATAACAACGATGACGTTATGGTGAAGAAACTTGAAAATTTTTTAACGCATAATGAAACAACATTATGTGAAGTCAACATAAAACTTGCGTTAGAGGGTTTGCAATTAAATTTATTTATGGATACAGAAGAGGTAAATATTCATTTAAATTAATATTCGCTTGAATATTTATACAGGTTTTTTTAAAATATTATTTTTGCGTTATATTACAGGTGTTGAGTTCTCCTGTGCGCGATTTAAATCATGGTTTATGCAAGCTGGTCTTTGGAGAAACTATAAATACATGGGACTTTTATAGCGACAAGAGTTTGAAAATGAAATTGTCTTTGCAAAGCTGCTTGTTGCAGGATACTCGTAAGGACTCGGTCGTCGAGAAAAGGTGTTGTACCCGTTGATTGTTTATGGTTGAGTGTAAAACGTTAATGGTATCGAGAATCACAATTTTGTTTTCCGTTTTAGGATAATACAATCGCCGGCGATATCCTTAGAAAAGAATTTGGAATCCTGTATTTCTGTATCAATGTCTCCTATAGTCGATGTAACATATAGTCGTACTCAAGCAGAGGAAAAGTGTTTCGATGTTCTTATTCAAGACATACGAATTAATTTGTCTGTGCCTTTCTTGATGCACTTGGGACGTTATTTTCTAGATTCCTTACCCGGTGAACAGATAGAGAAAGGAATTATCAATCACGGATATGATAATACTAATCAGATGGTACATATAAAACTATTCATAAATAATAAGTTTACTAGAAATATTTTTAAAATGCTCTTTTTCTTATATACATCTCTCTCTCTCTCTCTCTCTCTCTCTCTCTCATTTTCAAAAATATCTTCTAAATATTAATAATCGAATTAATTTCCCAAATTAATTTGATTTCAATCAAGAACCGGAATACTTTAAATGCAGAAATTGACAAATTAAATTGCTCCCAATATTTTAAGGAACAGCCAGGTAGTTTGTTTATATGCATGTGGATGTTGTAGATATATAAAAATTATTTTCTCTTATACAGTACTATTGTATACGTAAAACTCTCTTCATACAATGAAGAAAGCAAAAAAAACTGAATAATTTTAATGTGTTTAGATACTTCAATATCGATTAGAATACAAAAGCCAGACATCTTTCTATTCGGTGACTTAGAGAGGAGCAGCACTCATGTAATACGAATGCAAGCGGAAGTGTTTATCGAAAGTAGCAGACACAGTCGGTCCTCCTCAGTAGTCTGTACGTTGACCAACGTCAATGCCAAGACTAAAGGACAGGGGAATTATGAGTCCCCGTATTGGTTGTTACGTCCCTGTGATATAGAAATTTGTAAAAAGAAGTTATCTTGCGGTAATGAAGACATTACTGTTGCTATAAATAGTATTAATATACATCTATCGGCGGAAGTGATGCATACCTTTATTGACGTAAGTATTATGTAATTTAAATTGAATCTGGAAATATATCTGATATAGAGCGCTAAACAGAATGAATGATAAATAGATGAATTTTTAATTACCTACAAGATCTGGAGATTAAGGCTGCGTTCCGTTTCATGCATCATGCGCATGAAGCATCTTTTATTCTTGTTATTCATCGAATGTTAAACAAGGATAAATGATGCATTATGCGCATCATGCGAGAAACGGAACGCAGCCTAAAATAAGGTTGTTTTAATATCTTTCATAATTAAGAATCACTATCGCTTTATGTCACATATTTCCAGATACTTCAAGATTTCTTTGAAGTATTAAAACAGTTAAAAATCATTATATCGCTAGATATATATATTATGTCTCAATTGATTATTGTATAATATTTGTTCCAGATATTGAATGAAGCATCGACTTTCTTGAACAGTATTAATTCGAAAACAGATGATGACAGTAATCAGAATACAAACGTGCATAATCTTTGGACACCAAGAAAAGTTTCTAGTATACCGTATAAAAAAACTGACGAACGTAAGTATCTCGTATAAATCACAGACGTATTCTATTTGAATTCCATCAACTGTTTATATTTTTTAAATAAATTTGTCTTTTTATTTTTCGCATTGTTTAGGTAACAAAGAATTGTATCGTCGCCGTAACGATCAAGTAACATTCAATTTGAGACCTGTGCTAGTATGTTTATTGCTGGAAATGGAGTACGCCGTAGGAAGATTTCCAGTAATGAAAATGGAAACTGTCATCACCACTACCATTAACGATTGGCGCAACAATTTTCACCTTGAATCCAATGTAAAACTTCACGCTTTCTGTTACAATAGAGCTCGTCAAAATTGGGAGCCTTTCGTCGAATTTTGCACGAAAGACGACATAGATTATAAACCATGGGAATTCACTATCAAGGTTACTAATATTATCGTGCTGTACTATGTTCTTTAATTATTTATTAACGTAGTTTTAACTACCCATAATTTAATTTCTTTAGATATATCGAGGCGAAGCGAATATGATTAATTCTGATTGGACAGATCCTTGCCATCACATAAAGCAAGATCCAATAAAAGCGAGAAAAAGAGATACGCAATATAATGGGGAGGATATGACAGATATGACATTTATTGGACCTGATGTCGATATGATCTCAGTTACAAGGAAAGGTAGTTATTTATCTATCAGTTACATGAAAGTGTTATTTAATATATCGAATTATTTAGTATATATATCTTTTTAATCAACAGAGCCTGAAACCTATGTTACATACGAGGATGAATCTGACACGGATGATGATGAGAATGATACAAAATTAACAAAAATTTCAAGTTATTTATTTAATAGTACCAGTGATGGCGAAGAAAGCGATTCTGATGATTCAAGTACAAACGAGGATGAGGAATTTGAATTACTGGATTGTAATCCTGAATGTTGTACGTAAATTCGAGATTTTGTGCAAACGTATTAAATATCAATTGTTAATGCTAACGTTTTAATTATTGTATTTTTCGTACAGGCAATTCTGTCGCGCATGTACCGACAAAAACGAATCTCACCGCACCATATATCATCGTATATTCAGAAAACAAAGTTAACATTACTATAACGCAAGACATGATTGCAATATGGAATGCAATTTCAAACGCGTTTACACAAGCGAGGAGTGGAATTCCGTTTGTACCCACTAATACGCGGGAATTAACTGTGTTAAACGACATAGGTCACGCAAGTCGAGTTGAATTGCTTGTTCAAGAGCAAGTGGACGGGAATAACGACATGCGTGTCATAGCCGCATACAGTTTTCATGACGGAAGCTCGCCTGTCAGTGTGCCCAGCAGTCCTGAGAACGAACAGGCGGATCTCACGAGTCCCCAGTGGGCCGGTAAGGAAACCGCTGTGATCGTATCGGAGTGTAAAGCTTTCCCCATCGACTCACCAGTGCACATCTACAAATCAATAACCGATGAACTCCTTCGTATCATCTTTGAAGGTAACTTTTGCAAATATACTTCGAAGGTAATTAAATATACAAAATAGATATCTATCTTTTTATCCTTAATGCAGGATTCGAAGACGTGTTGGTGTATTGTCCGAAGAAAGAAACGCGTAATCTTGTGGCACTTCGTCCTGTGAGACATGAGGTTCGTTATTACCTGGTGATAGAGGCATCCATAAACAATTATTTGCATCGTACGATTTGCGTGCGATCTCCGTTACAGGTAATTCGATCTCGCTTATCTATTCGTTTACCATCTTTCGTTTTTATCTTTCGCTGATCGAGAGAATATTTCAGTTTCGAAATGAAACCTCATACGCCTTGGGACTTTATTACAAGAAAGTGGTGATAGACAAATTGGGCCTGACGCTAACCGGTGAAACTACGAATCCTTTCGATGATAACGTGAGAATGGCGATCATAGAACCTGACGCAACATATAATATTCCTCTATATATCGCTTATCATTGCCCGATACACATTCTTCCTGCATATCTAGAGTGAGTAAAATATGAAATACGACAATGTGTACTTTTAAAAGATTGTAAAATAAAATAAATAAATATATTAACGGATGTATTATCTGTAGGAAATATCAAGTCAGTGACGAAGGAATTTATTGGAAAGATTTGAGGGGTACAGCAAATGCATTTAAAGACGTATGCTGCGAAGCGAAAGGTGACAATAATCGTAATGTATTCTGTGTCAAGGCGATATGCACGGAACTTCCATTAGCGACTCGTCCCTCAGGTTGTCAAGTACCGAATTACTTGATAAATATCGTACCACCTGTTATTTTCAATAATCAACTACCTTTTGTCATCGATGTCAGTATACCTGACATCAATTACGAGGTGAAAATCGAACCTGGGGAGAAAATAAACATGCATTCTCTGAATCATGGCAATAACGTACAGTTTGTTTTCAAGGTACGTGCAATCATCGTTCGAAAGAAACTATTATATATAAATATATTTTTACTGCATCCTTTTAATTACATACCGTTTCAATAACTTTATATAGATACACAACTATTTAGGCATGTCTTGGATGGGTGCGGTAAAACTAAATATGAATCTAGAGCGCAAATTCATGTTAATGTCTACAGATAGCGAGTCAGACTTAATGAAGCCTTTTCTGCTATGCTTAGAATTGTGCAAAATTCTCAGTTGGAACATTATTATACAATCGCAATATTGGATAATAAATAAATCTGGCTTACCATTGTTTATTCAGGTAAACCAAACGACGACAAGGTTCCTACGATAATAAATATATAATCTATTAATATAATATTTTTTTTCTTTTAGGACTGTCATTCTCATATAACGTATGAGATGCCGGAGGAGGAATTAATGGTATTCTCTCAAAAGAACAATAAGAAGAGTATGGTGCGGTTAAGAGCACATCAATCCGAATGGTCAATGTCATTTGGACTGGACGGGATTACATCGATGTCGTTGATCATATGTCGCGATATCGAACGCGGACGAAAGTATCAGATTTTAACAGAGATAGAGAGCTCACGTTTGTCGCCGATCTTCACAAAGATCATAACGTTTTTACCATACTTCTTCATCTGCAACAAAACCAAGAGAGCCTTGAGATTCATGGAAGAAAATGAAGAGGCCGATCTTTGGAACGACCTCTTGCCTGGGCAAGAGATGTCGTTCTGGCCCGCCACTGAATCTATGAAGATGAAAATAAAATGGAGAAATAGCCAATTAGTTTCGCAACACTTTGATATTATGCATGCGGGCAAAACTGTGCTGAGAATGGATAACGGGGTAAGATAAAAACATGTGATCGCTAGTTACGGAACAAGTTACAAATTTTATGAAGATCGAAGAATTTTATTTAATTAGTATTGTATTATGTAACTTAAAAGCTTCTTACAAAGACTTCATAATTCACAGTCAGCACTGTGCGTGGAGATCGAAGGCGGCGTCAGTACTCCATATCGTATAACATTCCGGAGATATATCAACGGCGATATACCAGTGAGAGTAGATAATCTCTGCGATAAATTATTTCTGAAGCTGAATCAAATTAATTTAGGCCAAGTCGCATTGCTCAAACCATTCCAAAGTTTGTTATATACATGGGACGATCCTACTCAAACTAGAGAATTGATCTGGAATGTTTACAGTAATAACGCAATTGGTTACAGAGCACAATTCGAGACGGTAATAGCAAAAAGTATCTCTTAGTATTAACTTTTAGTTTTCCAATATATATTTTTGAACAAATTTTCCGACTTGCATTCTTTGAAGTCTCCCGTAGGAGGTCAATTTCTCACTCTAGTTTTTAGAAAAATTTTTTATTTTTCTATGCAAACTTATTGCTTGATGTTAATAGTTGCTTATGTCTGCTCTTAGGATGGTTGTGGGCAAGAAAAAGTATCTTTCATAACCATCGAACGACGCCACAGTGCGTCTTATTCTTCTGTTACTCCCAAGTCACTAGCGAATACAAAGTCATGGTCGGAGGATACGAGTGGAAGTGTCAATCACGTTCCTAGCGCGGAATCCGAGGCGAAGTCGCAAATGTCGGAAAATATGCACCAGGGTGAAGCAATGGTTTATTGGGTGAGCTATATGGAAGGTGAGCAACGCGTGCTGCTGTTCACACAGCACGAGAGCGTGTACCTAAAAGCGAGGAGTATTATCGATCCTGAGACGAGCAAAAGAGAAATATTCTTGTCAATTGCAGCTATCGGAATAAGTGTTGTAAGTGAAGAGTGATTGCTTGGTTTGTATTACTTGTTTCGGATGTGATCAAATATCGATTTTTTTACGTAGGTTGTACATGAATCCAATCCTCATAGTATCAGACGGGAATTACTGCACGCCAGTGTGATCGACTCAGCCGCACATTGGGAACTTTACTTCAGCAAACGGTGGAGGAATCTATCGCTGGAGCTGAGCGCCTGGTTAGAAAATAAATACACGAATTCCGCGAAGACGGCACAGCTTGAGAATTTCATTGACGTACGTCTAATGTTAATTTTCAAAACTATTGCAAATGTAATTGCATTCGTTATGTAGAACTTATTAACTTTGATAGTTATATAAATTCCATTCGGTTTTACATTTAATAAAAGTATCGTTCATTACACAAACATTTTGAATGATAAATATTAAATGTAGAATATACATTGCTAGGTCAGCACAGAAGGGAATAATATTTTCTTGTATTGTGAACTACGAATATTTCTTTTGCTTATTGCACAATGAACATCCATCTCTAAGACTTTTTCCAAATTTTTTGTAGGTTGACTTCACAAAAATGCAGATGACCAAACCATTCTTTGGCAAGCTGCGAAGAACATATTCGCCAAGTATCTGGTTACATTGTAGGGAATCCACGACGCTTTGTTATTTGCAAGGATACGTTCATAGAATACAGGTAAGTGATCACATTTGTAATATATTCGTATATACATATTTTTTCTCCCGCCTTTTGCAGATCGATAATCAACTGAACGAAGCTACCTTTCCGGTAGTTCTATATCCCAACTTGGAAAAGACTTTTGTGAATTATGCTGGAAGCCGCAAATTGAAGCATTGCTTAGAATTCTCGTACCTGAAACAGCGCAAATTAAAAAGCATTATTTACAAGTGCGTGCGCAATGCAAATGATCAGTTATCGCCTGTTAACTGATATTTTTCATAATTTTCAAATGATATCCTTTCAGAGGAATATGTGTCATCGTCAGGGAGTTCAATTTGAATATAGAAGAGGCCTTCCTCTGTTCCTTGATCAATTTAGTACCTAAGACACCGGAAACTAAACATTCGATTGCTGCGAAACTGAGGAGAGATGTTTCTAATATGCGCGTTCCTTCGGTTCGCAATATTAGTAATGTAATATCTATTCTTGCACATAATTTAAGTACATCGTAAATGTATGAACATCGTTTAATTCATGTGTTTGAATTGTAGAACACAAACAGCAAAAGAAAAGATTTAATAGAGCAGATATACATCTCTCCGATCGCGTTACGCTTGAGATTATTGGCTAGTACAGACGGAACTAACACGCGTAATTTCAATGTGCTTGGTTATCACAATGTTCTTCGATTTATTTTCGAGTATGCGGAGAAGGGTACGTTTGAGAGGGACGTTGAATTCAGGTAAGCGATTACAATTTTATGGAACTTGAAAGACGAACGATAGTAAATTTCATAATTTTATTTACTCATTTAGATTGCCTGACTATCGAAAGAGTTTCATGACCGTGGATAACAAATGGTTCCTCTCCCATCTTTCACGTATCTACATGGCGCAGATTATGGAGCAGTTCCACGTGCTGGTCCGCTTAACTACCGTTCTGGGAAATCAGTATGGCTACAACTTTAAGTCGCCAGGGAGCAATTTCTGCGAACCGGATTTGGTGAGCGATCAGAAACATGATATATGTCGCAAACAGATGGTACATCTTTCATTTCTATTGAAAATAACGCTAATTTGAGGTGAATTTATAGCTATTGATGTGTGGGGACGAGTCTGCGGAGAAGCTGGCACACGAGGTCGCATGTGAGCTAGGATATGCTACGCCCGATGGTATACAAGCCTCATTTTTAAGCGGCCACGGCGCTCACACGCTTCATTACAAGGTAAACGCTATAAAGCCGTGCAATGGAACTAAAAATTAGCTGCTCCTTTCAGCTTTACAAAAAACTTGAATAGCTCATCTGTATCAGCTTTTAATCTTCGACATTAACTATCTGATAATTAAATCCTCGATTTCCGTAAGTCCAATAGAAACTGAAACATCATTATAAAGGAAAACTGTGATTTGACTCTTAGTATTTGCAGCTGAAAACACTCATAAGTTCCTTTTTATGTAGTAATTAATTAAAATGTTAATATAAGGAATTGAAACATCCGTTACATTTCATTCTAGATGAAAGATACGAATTATCGAAATCCAGATGTTCCGCCTTTGGCGTTTTTAGTCGATCATTCATTCGCTACAGAAATTGATTTGGAGACTTCTGGCTTGATCACTACGTCGACGAATAGTGAGTAGATCATTGCTGGTCGTAATGTACGAGTGGATGTAAGTGGGATCACATATCGTGCCGCGCACATCTGTTGATTCGCTCATTGCTGTTTCATTTCCGGCTCGACGTTTTTATTAAATCTCTTGCAAATGATAGGCATTCATCGAGAAGAATTAAGATATTTCTTCAAAACATTGGGAAAGAAAACATCTGTGCTCTTCAAGGCGGAAAGTTCTTGTTTGAAAACTTATTCGAAAGTAATAGCGGATATAATAAAAAGGTATCAGCGCTACCAGTACTACTTTCTCTCGTGCATTAACAGTGTTTACTTTAAAGATGAATTGTTCATCTTACAGGGCGCAAGAGGTGGGCCTCGTATCCAGAATGCGATTGCCGCGGTATATTAATCCACATTTCGTGAGTATCGGGACGATAACCCATGACTTTCCATTCATCTCTTTTGTATTGTTAACAATTAATATCGTGACTTAGGGCGTGGAGTCATTTTCGACGCATAAAGCGAAAGGAGCGTACTTATTAAACGCTATAAGTAAAGGTCACTGCGTTCAGAACGATTCTTATTGGGGACACGCTACGCTTCATAGCGACGGAAAATACATTACGCTCGTATCTTTGCAGTAAGTTTAACAATATGCAATGTCTCAGACATGTTTTTCGTCGGCGAGCCTTCCGATCAATTTGAAGGCGAAAGAAGGCTAATTAAAACTGGAACACAATATGAATACAATGAGTCGAATTCACTGACGTATATATTTAATATCGTGTCCTTAATATCAATGGCAAAAAATCTTAATAGTAAAGTTATTGCCGTGTTAATTTCTTCTGAGTCAGAATGTAAAACAAAATAAATCCTTGGATCTTTTTCTAGACGGATATACTATATCGAGAAAGGAAATACATGGGGTTCATGGAACGTGAAATGGACTTTGGAAACTAATCAATTGCTGTCACCACCAACCATCGCTAAGAATAAACTTGTTTTGCATATAGAGGTAACTGTTCCGATCTATCCCGAAAATTGATTTGGCATGTTATCTATATATTATTCTTGAGGCTTTCACGGGTGTTACCTATGTGACAATCTTGCGTTTCGCGGGTTTTCTCCGTGTTCAGATCCATTCTTGGAATGCCAACGTTTCGTGAACCTTGCAGTTCACTTCATCAGGGCGAGCAGCGCCCACACAAGCAGCGTAATATAAAAGGAACGACCCGGGGGAACAGCTTAGTATCAGGCTGCTCCTCGCCCTGATGAAGTGAACTGCAAGGTTCACGAAACGTTGGCATTCCAAGAATGGATCTGAACACGGAGAAAACCCGCGAAACGCAAGATTATCTATATATAGAGAATTATTGCACTGGGCTAAAAATTCCCAAGTTGATTTACCGTGTTAAACAGATTCGAATTTTAGACTCAACATTAGGAGTTAAAGCATTATTGAGCATTCTCTAGTGTTACTCAATTGGTGTTCATTAAAGATGGTCGCATTGAATTTTATTCCTAGAACGAGAAAGAGACATCGTCGTCTATGGTAGATTGGTATGTGGAGAGCGAGGCCGTAGACATTCTGAATTGGTTGTGTCGCAAAATGAACAACGCAATGATCCTGAATATGGAGAACAGCATTTGTTCCAAATGAGAATTTTTGGAATTGGTTAATGAGGCCACCGCAAGAAGGAAACAAAGAACAAAGAGGATGAAGAGATCAGTGTATTTACATATTTAGTTCGGCGTAATAAAAGTCTATACGATGAATGCAAAAAAAAAAGAAAACGCTATATATATCTCTAATGCCACACACTTTATTATTATTATTATTATTATTATCATCATTATCATTTATCTTGCCAAAGTCAGATCGCATCTTCGTCTTGGATAAAGTACGTCTAGTTTATTTCATAATTTATTTACAAAAAGTCTTAGTAAATTACACTTACAGGCATCTCCACTCGAACTAAAGTAAATAATTTAAGAACTACATGTATTTAGATATCTATAGAATAGGATACTTTGGGGTCGGGGAGAAGCTGGGACCAGGGAAAGTGTTCTGTTTAACTTATCTCAACACGCTTCTAAATCGTATGTCTTCGCAAGAATTCATGTCGTTTTAAACGGCTACACATCGTATGTGAAAACTAAGTCATCATTCCGTCTCTCTTAAATTCATTCTTTCTACGAAACGAGGAAGTATACCAGTGGAAGGTGTGCGACGACGAGTTCGAATGCGTCTCTCTCTCTCTCTCTCTCTCTCTCTCTCTCTCTCTCTCTCCCTCTCTGTTTCTTTAACTGCTGCGTAAATGTTCGTGAGAGTGGGATTTTACAATTAGGTAGATGTATGTATCGTAAGAATCGTCAAAATATGTGCAAGCTGACAATCGGTATTTGTTAGTTTTACAATAACGTATATGCGCGCTTTGAAAAAGCATAAAATCTTGGTTATAAATATATTCCCATTAGAATCGTTTAATGGCACGATCGAGCTTAAATTTAAAAATCCTCTTGTTTTATCTTTTTAATATATTCGTTTCTACATTATCGCCCAGAATCAGTTTTCATCTGCTTCTATAATGTTTCCTTATCTTCCGCCTCTCCGTCCCTTTTTCTTTATATTTTCTTTTTTGTTATCACAACGGTGTTTAATTACGTTTATAAATACGTTTATTCCAAAAAGACTGCAGTTAGTTAAATTCTCTACTTTCAAATCTTTGTTCGAAAGAAAGCCATTGAAAAAAAAAGGAAAAAATTTACCGAAATTGTGAAATCTCCTAGGAATTCAAGTAATTACTGCAAAATTAACGGTAATTTAAGTGACTATCTAAATTAATCAGTTACTTAGTTTCGCAAGCTATTTGTGTTTTCTTTCTCTTCACAGACACTGTCCCCACCCCTTTTTCTACCGGCACCCCCATCCTCCGTGCATACATACACGCGCACACATACGCACGCATCTCTCTCTCTCTCTCTCTCTCGCTCTCTTTCTCTCTCTTTCTCTAAAGTCATCTTTTATATTAATACGCGCATATATGGGCCTCCGTTTGTCGAAGCGCCGCGTCATATGCACGTACCGCACTCGCGCGATCATATTAACACATACACGCTTCACACATGCATCTCTCGCGCGCACGTATAAGCGGGCATGTGCTCTAGACCGCTTTACTCTGGAACCTCTCTCTATTCTGGAACAGCTTGTCTCTTCCCTGTAAACTGGAATATACATATTATATAGGAAAGATATATATAAAATATTATATAATATATATAATAAATATATTTTTTATAACATGTATAATATATATATATTATTACATATAGTATATAATATTATATAATTCCTCTTTCGCACTTTTTTACGCGCGTAGTAACTCTGCCACGTTACGTAGAATGAGAAGCGAAACATGCGGGATGATACAAACACACGGAACATTCGACGGCGTTTCGCCATATACGAGTATTGGAAGCGGTTTTCCAGAGTAGAGGGATACAGCCCGATCCGGACGATTTAGAGATAGAGGACAGAATAGAGAAGTGCTACAGCATCTCTGTCTTCAACATCATTCTATCTCAAACATTTTCTCGATCTTTCATCTCTGTTCTTCTGTCTCTGTTTCTTTCTTTCTCTCTTTCTCGCTCTCTTTCTCTCTCTCTCTTCCTCTTTCTGAAGCTCAAACATATACATACATACATAGATACATACATGCATGCACGCAATACACAAATACATAAACATGTACGCACGCATGCACGCTTCCTCGCTGCTTCTCTCCATCTCGCTTTCACGCTCTCTTTCTTTCTGCTATTTTTCCCTCTCAATCAGCGGCTTTATCACACGTATATTATTTTTTCTCTTCTAGCAATGTCTTTCTTCAGTTCTAGTTTCTGCCTGTGCTTCTAAAATCGAGACTTCTTGCGGCCTTACAGCCGCAAACGTATATTTGCGCCATCGTAGCCGCAGCACGAAAATCGAATAAGATTCAAATGGAAGTGTGTTATCTACAAAATATCTTAATTACTCGCTAATTACAGCACAAAACATGCAAATATAAAAATTTGCATTATATTATCGTTTAATATTTATATATATCATCATCCGATATATCATTCCACATCGCACCATTAAGGTTCGCCGACATGATTCTTGGTATATATATTATTATGCAGCTGACCGTTGTCTCTTGAAAGTTCATTTTCTTTTTTTTACTGCGTATGCATATGTGAGTGTATAGATATATATATATGTGTGTATGTGTGTGTGTGTGTGTGTGTGTGTGTGTGTGTGTGTGTGTGTGTGTGTGTTGATGCATGCTCGCGGTTGCACACGCGCGCATGTATGTCTGTGAGTGCGTGTATCTGTGTTTTGTTTAGTTTATGTTCTGTGTTGTGTGCATATGCTCAGTGGATATGGGATGTGTGCATGTCGAACCATGTTTTTCTGTGTGTGTGTATGTGTTTGTGTGTATCTTTTTTCTTTCATTAACTATGAAATATCTTACACTATCGATATTATTCCAATTCATCGAAGGGGAAGGTATACCGGCAGGCGGATATCGCATCAGGTATACCTACACGCTAACACCAATAATTAAACTTTCTTACTTCCTGTTTAATCGATATAAAACTACAACTGCGCTGCCATGGCTTTTAATCAGCACTTTTGTTCCTTCACTCGTGCACTCTATCACGTCGCGCGCGAGTCTTTCTCGCCTCGTCACTCTCCCTCGTCTCTTTCCATCATATATATCCGTCTATCTCCCGCTTTCCCCACAACGTCCGCCTTTTAAACGCACTATAGCCGTCCGTACACAACGTCGTACCATTACAACATCATCGCCGTCGCGTGCGTCTTACTCATCGTTGTCGTCACCGTCGGCACCGTTAATAATAATCCGCGCGAATCGCGTACTAGTGTCCCGACCGACGACAGAGAGTTACGTGCCCCTCGAACACTGGAACAACACACGCGCGACTATCGCAGCGACTTGCTGATCCAGGATCTGACTCATTACCAAGGCGAGCAGGCGGGACTCGTGTTGCAGAAGGAGAGTTCGGTTATCCGGATGCCTGGCGAGGTTGAGCAGCGTGCCGGCCGCACGTCGCAACATATCCAGGCTGGTGCCCATCGATTCGGGATTGTCGCGCAGAGCCGCGAGACCGTGCTGATTAGCGACACCGATTGCACTTGACTCGGCCTGCTCGATGAACGCGACGAGCAGAGCAACGCACGGCGTCTGCAGGGCGATGGTGCGTGCGACGCCGCTGTCCGCGGCCGACAGGAAGTGCAGTAGATTCACGCCGAATTCGCGCAGCACCTGTTCTTCGCTGCGGCAGAGGAGCCTAGTCAGCACCGAGCATAGTCTCTGTAATCGTGAGTACGGCGGCGTCGCCACCACCAGATCAACGTTGCACTCGGTAACGCATAATTTGCACAACGCCTCAAGCGCGAGTCTCTGCGGCGACAATGAGGAATTCGGACTGACCGTTGGGAAAGGATCCTGACCATGAGCAGCCGGGCATACGGCCCAGTGAAGAAGACCGTCAAGTACTGGCCGTGAGATCTCCTCCGGATGCTGGCTCAGGTCCATGTGGCCGGATATGTTGGCGGCCATCACGAGGACGTTCTCCCTCACGTGATGGAGGAAGTCCCACCACCATTCGCCCTCGCCTTGCAGACTGCTACACGAGTCCGCAAAATCCGCGTCCTCTTCACGATCGTAATTGCGCGTCTTTTGCGCCCGTATCGGGTGTTCGTGATGCAACAGCAATAATTTGCCTAGTAGACTAAGGAACGTAACGTTCTTCGCGAATTCCGCTTCATTGCCGGGGATAAAAGTGAGATTCCTCAAGATAGTCGACAGGCACACGCAACGACGGGCCAGGCTGTCCTGTGTTTCCGTTACCAGGTAAAGACTCGCTTCGTCCCTGGAGTAACTCTCGTCCTCGTAGTCACTTATCCTCCGTCGTTTTAACGTTCCTGCCGGATCTCTTATTTGTAATCTTGGTCCCTCCCTGTCGTCTCTCGTCGTTAGCAATTCATGTTCGTCCGTCGTTTCTGTCTTGATCTCAGTTTTATCTATGGTGTTATCAATGTTGCCTGAAACCGTCGCTACCGATTCATTCAGTCCATTTTGCGTCGGCAACGAGTCCTCGTCGTTCTTTGACATATCACTGCCAAAGTGCTCACCCATATTGTTGTTTGCTTTCGTCACTTCGCTGTCGCAATCCTTTTTAAAGCCGTCGTTCTTCTTCTCGAATAGTTCTCTTGTGAGATCGTTCATCTCTACGGGCTCCTTCTTGATCCTCGACAGCACGTCACTTAAAGTTTTCGTCTTCTTTTTCTTATCCAGCTGTTGCTGCTTACGTTCGCCACTGTCTTTGTTAGATTGCTTGTCGCCAAGCTCACCGGACTTGTGAGTGAAGTCTAGCGTCTCGTGGACACCACCGACGCTATCCGCTTTGGCTTCGTCTTTCAAATCTGTGCTATCAACTTCCTTCTGCAACAACGGCGGTTTCTCGTCCCTTAGTAAACGGGCGAAAGGCACCGAGCCCACCTCAGACTGAAAACACGTGACGATGTATTTGGTCGCGTTCGTGTCGACTTGCCACGGCTCGGTTTCCGACTCGCACTCCTGATGATCCCAAGGCCTCCGGGTGTCCAAAACAAACAGATCGTCATCCCGAGGAACGATCTTAACGGGGCGACCTCTCCTCGAGAGATACGTATAATTCGATGTCGACAGCAATTTCGTCCGATCTTCCGAATCGATCGGGCGCGTTACCGCACCGAGGTCTACCTCCGGACCATCTGCGGCCTGGCAATAGCGATCGTCGTCGTTTACACATGATTCGAACATGTCGGAGAGAGAACGCGAGAAGTGTTCCAGCAGAACGTCCAGTAGTCCGGGTAGGTGTGTCAATCCGAAATAACTTACCTGTAAACGGAAAATTTATAAACATTTTGTACATACATACATTTTATTCTATTACTATATATATAAAAATATTTAATATCTTTTTAGCGTTTTTTACGTGAATTAGGTCTTCAAAATATATATAAATAATTGCAGCACGAAAGATTCGTTAATATAAATTGTTGTATATCTCACATTTGTTGCATATTTTATCTTTTCATTTCATGTGAATTTCTACTATATACATTGTTTTTTTTTTCTTTAAAATAATTACGATAGCAAAAAATATACTTACAGAAGAGTCATCGAATAATAAAATGTTTAATACATCAAGGGCCCAGCAGCTCTCAGCGAGCAGACCCGATCTCAAAGCCATCATGATGCGCCAAGCTTCTACTGGTGCCACGTCAGCGCGCGTCAGTTTTCGTCGCTTGTACAAAAGAGGCGTGATCGCTTCTACGCTGTCAGGAGGGAATGTCATTTCTCTCTTTGACGTCGGTTGCTGGCTGATCATGGGACTTACTCCGAGTTGAGTCTGTGCAAAATAATACGATGATATTTCGTTTGTCTATGAAACAGCTTGATTGAAATGATCACATATCGCGAAACAAATACAGTTCCAAACAACTATGATAACGATAACTATGATAACAAAACAATTAATTGAAGATTGTACTAAGTATGGAATGTGCTGATTTATAGCAGATATAAATCTTGTTAAGTTTCTCGTTATTGCATTAAATTATTTTAGAATGAACTTATGAAAATATTGTTTGCAGAATTAAGCGTACCTGATGATTCCCGGGTGTTGGATACAAAGGGGACGGTTGATTCGTGTAGCGATGATCCCACGGTGGAGGCGGGTGCGCTATAGCGTTTAGAGATGGCTGGGATGAGGATCTATTCGATGGCTGACTGGCCCATTGTTGACTACTAGCCATGTTGACTACCGGAGGAGTTGGGGCAGCGGTGACGACTTGGGTTCCTTGTTGCGGCGGCTGCGGTTGTGGTTGTTGTGATGGCGATTGTGCCGGCTGGCTTGGGTATTGAACTCTATTGTTTCCACTATTACTATTGTACTGATTAGTTGTATTTGGCCATCCTGCAGCAAGAAATAGCATTTGGGTTAATCAAGATCAAAATATTCATTTAGCTTGCAAAACTTTTTCTGAAATAGTAATACATGATTATCGACATTAAAGTATCTCACCTGGATAAGCTGGTCGTTGTTGATTATATTGGGGATACTGTTGGTCTTTGGCAAAGTCTGGGTGACGTCTAGGTTGAGTGGGAC